CATACAAATATTATTTACAATCTTCATATGAATACAAGTGCGTGTTTACATATTTCATATGAATACAAATATGTATTTACAATCTTCATATGAATACAAGTGCCTGTTTGCGATCTCTGTATGATACAAATTGCGTTATACAATCTCCAAGTATGTCATAATTTCTCAATATGAATACACGTATGACCCACAATCTCTATGTGGCTACATGGGGTGCTCATATTCTCTAAATAAATACAAGTCTTGTTTACAATCTTGTGTATGTGTGTAAGTTTGTATCTACAATCGCAAATACAATTCATATGAATAGAAGTGTGTTTATAATCTTCATATGGTATGTGCTTAGCGTGAATATACGTATGTGTTTACAACATTCATAAAAATGTGTGTGTTTACACAATATGAATACAAGTATGCATTCACAATTTCCACATGAACAGATTTATGCGTTTACAGTCTCAATATAAATACACGTTCGGTTCACAATCTCTATATTGCTACAGGCATGGTTTCACAATATTTATACGAATCCTAGTATGCGTTTGCGATCGCCATACGAATACAAGTGTGGTTCTCAATATGTGTACAAATATGTGTTCACAATTTCCATAATAATTGCGGCGGTTTACAGTAGCCATAGCAACAACTTAGCAACTTTAGTGTTGATTTATACATGATTATGGGCAATATGCCCAATAGTGGAGGTATAAACACCGAAATGTTTCATAAACGGTTTCCGATGGAGATGTACAGTATGCATATGAATATTAGAGCGATGTGTAGAATATGCACATGAACACCGAAGCGATGGGTACAATATGCAAATGAACACCAAAACGATGGGTACAATATGCATATGAATACCAAAGCAATGTGTAGAATATGCATATGAATATCAAAGCTATGTGTACAGTATGCATATGAACACCAAAGCGATGTGTACAATATGCATATGAACACCGAAGCGATGGGTACAATATGCAAATGAACACCAAAACGATGGGTACAATATGCATATGAATACCAAAGCAATGTGTAGAATATGCATATGAATATCAAAGCTATGTGTACAGTATGCATATGAACACCAAAGCGATGTGTACAGTATGCATATGAACACCAAAGCGATGTGTACAATATGCATATGAATACCAAAGCGGTGTGTACAATATGCATATGAATAACAAAGCAATGTGTACAGTATGCATATGAATACCAAAGCGATGTGTACAGTATGCATATGAATACCAAAGCGATGTGTACAGTATGCATATGAATACCAAAGCGATGTGTACAATATGCATATGAATACCAAAGCGATGTGTACAGTATGCATATGAATACCAAAGCGATGTGTACAATTTGCATATGAACACCAAAGCGATGTGTACAGTAGGCATATAAATACCAAAGCGATGTGTACAATATGCATATGAATACCAAAGCGATGTGTACAGTATGCATATGAATACCAAAGCGATGTGTACAGTATGCATATGAATACCAAAGCGATGTATACAATATGCATATGAATACCAAAGCGATGTGTACAGTATGCATATGAATACCAAAGCGATGTGTACAGTATGCATATGAATACCAGAGCGAGGTTTAGAATCACGTGCACCGTATAAAAGCAAGTGTTTGATTTACATTCTCTATATAAATAGACAATGAATTTAAAATACATATGACTTTATGGGTCTTCATGAATAAATCAACGTCCTAAACAATGAATCACAATGACTATATTTGTTCATATATGTTATTTCATGTGGAATACATTAATTCCAATAGCATGAAAATAAGTAGAAATAAATTGTTGTTCTGACAAAAAAATACTAACCAGCTGTATAGGCGACGTTTACGTGTGCATATATAATTACAAAGATAATTTATATAGATTGAAAACAAATAACACGCTTTATTCCTTTTAATGTAATTGTCCAACTCCCTAGTTACAAGACACGCCTGTACGACAGTTTCAGTCATCAATGAAAATTTTGTTATCAGATATAATTCGATTTTTCCTTTGACCATTCAAAATTCCTCTTCGAAAACCAATGGGAAACACTGCCCTCGGTGTCATTCTCTTCAATACTTTGACATCAATAAGAACAACATGGCCATAATGGAACACGTGTGACATAGCTAACATGTGTGCCGTGGATTCTCTGAAAGGAATGTGACTTATATAATGTTTACAATTATTATGTATTCAGCGGTACAATTCATTCTTTCCAATCCAGCGCCAGACAGCAATGGACCGATTCAGAGAATCACTGTTAGTGATTGCCTTCGTGGCCACGGTTCTTTTTATATGCGAAGTTTACATCTTTCGAAATATTGAACTATGTATATGTGATACGACAGAAATTGTCACAGTTGAACCTTCATGGAGTTCGTCTCTTGATAAACGCAATGAGAATGGAACTCATACCACTGAGAAACTTTATTTCAAAATATCGACAGAATTATTGGAAAAGAATATTCCAGAAGATGTGGATGATAGTATAATTTGGGATGCAAGTGTCGACAAAGTTGCCTACTTGCATGCCAAGTTTGACAATTTTTGCTATAAACCAGAAGAACCTTACTTTGAGCATAAGCAACCGCTGGAGAGAAGTAAACTTGATCGTCGTGGATGTCAAAAAAGGCTGCCACAAATTATCATCCCGGGAGCGAGGAAATGTGGTACGGGAGCTTTAATGAAATTTTTGAATACGCATCCAAATATAACGGGGGCTTCGGAAGAACTGCACTTTTTCGATGAATGGAGAGTACAGAAAAATGTGTCAGATTACAGGGAAGACATGCCGTATACCACCAGTCATCAGTTTACTCTAGATAAAACACCCTCCTATTTCTTTCGCCCTCACAACACCCCGCAGTTGATCAAAGATGAAATCTCTTTAGATACAAAGATTATCATTGTGTTGTGTGACCCAGTTAGACGCGCTGTCTCGGACTACTTGGAATTTCTCTGGCTAGAGGAGCAGAGATATAAAAAAGGTATCGTCGCAAAGAAGAAAGAGATGAGAAGTTTCGAACATTTGGTGTGGGATCACGCATCGATACGCGGTGGGGTTAACCAATTAAACGAAATGGTTGATATGGGAGTTTATATAAAACACCTTATAAGGTGGTATGACGTCTTCAGTGAAGAACAGATTCTTCTTCTGGATGGTAGTTTTCTTTTAACAGATCCGGTTTCTGAATTGAAAAAAGTTGAAAAGTTTCTTGGCCTGAGAAATTTTTTTCTAAAAGAACATTTTTCACTGAATGAAGAACGGGGTATCTTTTGCATGGATTTTCCCAGCAAATATTGCTTACCCGGATGTAAGGGACGCAAGCACCCACACGTGGAGGACAAAGTATGGGCGACACTGTGTGACTTTTTTGCACCATACGACAGATCCCTTGAACAAATGACAGGAAAACATTTCTCATGGGTTGGTAAATGTTCGAGTCAAGACCAATGATCTTCAACTTAGAATGTTTGCGATTACATATGGCGAACAATCTGTGACGTTTAATGACGTATCTGACGTATGTGTGGCTGATCACAATCTACATAGACACTGTGAATTTACAGGAATACATTAATGGCCAAAACAGTGGATCACATGACCTGGACGCTCTCCTGAATATAGTTCACATGGCTGTAACACAAACTACGCCTTGTAACACCGCTTCAAGTACGTCTTTGGATATTTCACTAATCTGGATTTAACAAATTTTAATCAGATTTCATGACGTTATAATTAGCATACATTACGACATAGCCTTTGATATTCTTTCGTAATTAGTGAGATAATTCATGTAGTTAATGAGGTCGTGTTAGAGCTCGTTATTCGATCATACACAAGTTAATTGTCATTTTAAACCACAAATTATAACATGTTTTATTTTACATTTTACCACAGATGGACTGTGATTTTACTAAAGTACTGCTTTTTTATGATAGTATATTTCATGTAGATCTGGAATCATGTGAGTACACTGAAAATGCATTTCTATCTTCAGATAACACAAAGCATTCAATGAATTAGATCAGCGCTTTCTTTATAAAGCTGCACAGCTATTTGATTTAGTAAATCGCTAACAAAATAGGTTTACGATTTGTATTCAAGCATTCAAATGTATGTGCATTCAAGGGGTAACAGCAGTGGGTGGTTACTTACATAGTGGAATTGTGTCACTGTACTAACATTGCTTACTGCTTATTCATTTCGTTGGTTCAATGGAATGACTTACACACAAAAAACTATTCACATTTTAGTTTCCGAAAATCGTGAAATCCGCTGAGAAGATTAATGTTTTGCGTGCTGTGTTCTATGGAACAGCATTAAAGAGATTTATTTTGAACACAATGTTTTATTTTGATTTGATTCCTTGTTGTACCAACATAATTCCATCACAATCATGTCAACTTATCATTCAAGTAAATGCCAGTGTCACAGCAGAGGATTGTCCAATACCTTACAAAGCAACGCAAGTTTGCTAGGTCACTGGTAACAAAATGGAGAACTGACGGTCAGGATCACTAACGTCTCAGCGGTGTTATCACGTGACCGGAAGAGTAAGCATACCTTGCTGACTTGTCACACCGTTCATTATTGGTCTCGTATTGCAATACCAGTCAAGAAATATGGGTCTGATTATGGCAAGTCATAGGTGATCTATATAGAGTCGTAATTAGGAATGCTGTCTCGCAAAATTTGCTCAATTTGGCGAATATTTTAATGATATTATTACCAATAGTCGTAATATGAAAAGTACCCATAAACACGGCATGAGGATGTGACTCTTGTATTGACTCGCTTTTACATGTTCTGAACAGTCAATCATGACCAGGAAGTGAAATTTATCCCCATCCGTATCAGTATCACATATTTTATAGAAGCTCTCTTCAACTTTAAATTTGTGTATGGCCTTATGTGTTGACATTCTGTACTATTAGATTAAGGTAACTATGATTGCGAGTATTTTTGCATATGTTTTTCGCGTAATTTGTGGTTTTAAGTTTGCCAACTGCTGCTACATTGTGAATTCTTTCTTTAAATGTAAAGTACGCCCTCTATTTGTTATTTTCTCCTAAGCGCGAGATTCCTGAATTGCCTTCACCTTTAAACAAAACTTTCTAATTTGTTTCTATTTGATCACTTTTTTCCGAATCATTTCTTGTATTGACGTTCTCAGGAATATTGAAAACTCCGTTTACTAGCTAGTTACTTGTATTTCCAATATCTAGCCATAATATCGGTCCAATGTAGTCTTGGCGAACATATGATAAAAGATTTGCATGAGATCGAAAATTGAGAAATTGGCAGTATATTTCCAATGTTTCATTTTATGTGTGAATACATTGCATTCAATCTTTCACAATGTACATTTCAATAATAATTTCATTGTTATTTGTTTCGTCTAAATAATTATTTAAAAAAACATTGGTGTCTATTGTATTCAATATTATAATGAATTATTAGCTAAAAACTGTGTGTCGGATATTGTATTGTTCCCTTAACGTGAACAGTGTTAACTGTTATCTATAAACATGTTAACGATTCTATAATCTGGTCTGTTCACAGCCTGACAAAGTTTTAGAATACGATTTAATCCGTGGCATATGGTGGTCATTAATTTATTCTATTAATTATTTTCTCACTAAGCCTTTCTCAAAAACCTGTTTTGCTTATGTTTGGCCGGGGAACGACTGGAGCTGAAATAAAGAATTGTAGAAACCATATTCATTCGTCAACAATTAAGGGTTAGAGTTTTACCTCTTTTGTTTGTGCTGTATATCAACAATCTTAAATGTAGTTTACTACAACAAGACATGTGTAACTACGATATCACCAATTCTTGAAAACTGTCGGAGAACGTTGTCGTTTTTATTTCACTGAATTTCCATGTGACTAAGCGCACGTCCGTACCACATGGTGATTGTCACTATAATGTACACTTGAAGTCAACCTTCTCTTTTATACTCAGCTGCAGCCAACGAGTAATAACTTGAAATAGTCAATTCTCTGGGAAGTTTTTTTATTTTATTTGTCTTCCCCTCCTGCTGATCAAATTCATCTTTCCACCGCCCTCATTAAAAAAACATTTTTTTGCCTACTCCCCTACCGCCAACTTGCCTTTCTTGCCCTCCTGCTGACAAAATTCATATCTCCCCTTCTTGCATTTTCAGTTATTGATAGCACACAGCTATTTAGCTGATGTTACCCCCCCCCCAATGCGTTTTTTTAGTATACCCTGCCCTAAAGGCTGTTTTGCTTATCCTGTGATATTGTTTTATGTAAGTACCCTACCCATTTTTTTAGAAATCTGCCCTGCCCACTGGGGGGGGGCGTACTGATATTTCCCGCTCCCTACAAAAAATAGAAAAAATCCCCTGCCCTCAACGAGAATCAACAGCTATTCCGATGAACAGCTCCATTGGCTGCACCTGTATACTCGCCAGACGGATTCTCTGCCGCTATCAGAAGATCAACTAACTTATACATGTTATCATGGCAATTATAGAGCCATTCACAACGACGCATTGTATAGTAATTTGGCCTTCAGATATACTCATTATATGATGTTCCCGCGCTTCTTAAACTTTATGTGTTTTCTTTCACGTTCGATTTTAAGACATATAAGGAAGAGTATTCCCGGTTAAAGTCATGCATTTCTTCAGTTTGTATTCTGATAGTATGTTCCTGTGTTTGATGTTGAATAAACGGTAGTTTAGTTTAGTTTGTTGAACTTAGTCTACGCCTGACGTTTGTATACCCCCACAAAAACTGCCCAATTTGAAGCACATTCAAAAGCAAAATCACAAAGTGCTATTGTATAAGGCACAGATGTGTTCATGAAAGTACACTGTAAATCTAGGTGTTTTAAAATATGACACATTTGTGTCCCTACTTTAAAAACACTTAAAGTGTTTATATTCTGCATAATTATGAGTGTATATTATGAAAACATTTTCATTGCAACACATTATATAAAGTGTTTCCATTAGAAACACGTTTTGAAAAGTGTTTTCACCAGAAACATGTATGAAAAATGCTTATAATCACAACACTTTTAAAAGTGTTTTTACTGGTCACACATTTTGTAAAGTGTTTTCACCAGGAACATGTATAAAAAAGTGCTTATTATCACAACACTTTTAGAAGTGTTTTTACTAGTCACACATTTTGTAATTTTTTATAATCACGACACGTAGAAAAATGTCTCAACCGAAGACATGTTTTAATGAAGTGTTTACTATCACAACTCTTTGAAAAGTGATTTCACTAGACACACATTTTGAAAAGAGTTTCCACCAGAAATATGTATTGAAAAAGTGTTTATCATCGCAACACTTTGAAAAATAAAACACTAAATATTGACAAGTGCTCGTAACAGAGTCACATTTTAAAATGTATTTACATTGATAACATGGTAAAAATCTTATCAATCGCACGAAGAAGTGTCCTTGACTTATGTGCAGCTGAATAAGTGTGTTTACTCAAAATTCACACGTTTCGTGAAACTGTGATGAATTTGTTTTTGCGTATCTGTTAATCGACTTAGTTAGGTGATTACTAGCGAATGGCTGTGTTATGTCTGTCATCGTTTCGGCCCATTTGAGGTTCTGGACGAAAATCGACTCGGTGATTTGGAACTAATTACGAGATAACCGTCGCTATTTGGACTACTATTTCGGAGAGTTAGTATTCGCAGTTATTAATATAGTGAACGATTAATCAAAAGATATGACGTGTTCAGTACTTAGTGTTATTGGCTGTATGATTGAAGGCCAGGCCTTAGAGTCTTTTAACTGCTTTGTGATTGGTTAAGGTTTTGAAAATGAATAAAGAGTTGTTTGAGTTGGTCTTGGCGAGTACACCAGGACAGACGCAGTCTAGGGACAGAGTCTTGAGTCAGCTCTGCGAGTCTTGGGGACTTTTCCCCAGGGCGCTGTGTCTTATAGAGTGCTCGACTGACCGACTAAGACGAGAGTTGAAACGTATTTTGTTGTGTGCGTCTATTTGACTGTAAGGTTTAAGTGACTTTCCCGATTCCGTACCTCAAGGGGACGCGATAGAGAGACGAGACGAGATTCCCCCCTGACACGTGTAGAGAACCCAGAGAGAAAATTTCCCCCTGATAAAACTGTAGATACAAAACCCAGTATTTGTGAACATTGACACTTCAAAACAGATGAGTAATTAACTGAAAGGAACAATAACATCTTTAAACCCTTTCCTCACTGACATAAATGAAAAGGCCCAATCTCTTCCCATGCGGTAATGTTCAAATGCAGTCTCTCCTAGGGAAAAAATAGTGGGACAAAAAAAATCATTAATTTCATTTATTGCGATCCCATTCACACTCAATCATTGAATCTGCATATATACATTACATCTATTCTATTTCATTTATCTTTCACTTTTCTATCCGTCAAATGCTTGATTGCTTATTTTTATTACTTTTAAAATCA